TCGCTTTGAGTTTAAGTGAGAGCCTCTTGTGGGGAACAACATCAAAAGCCTTTTGGAAATCTAAGTAGCACTGATTGATGCAGATAAATTCCTTCAATACTTTTTGTTACTTTAAAATTTCAAGGATCATTTTGTTTTACATTTGTGATTTATTGAAATGGTGCTAGTTTGCAGTAAAAACATAATGAGGATACAGTATGCTTTCATTTATCAGAATTTCCCATGAAATTCCTGGCTTATTTGCACTGCTCAGTCCATTACTCCCTCCATTCCTATCTACCTCTGTCTTTTTCTTCTTCCATACTTCCCTTTCTCTTTCTCTCTTCCCACTGCTTTAGGACATTGGGCCCCCAAGGCCCCCGCTCCCTAAATTCTACCTCCCCTTGGAACCCCCCAGTGCCATCCCCCCCTCTGCCCCCCCTCCATCCCTTGACAGCAGCACTTGGCTCCACAGCATGGGCCAACTGTCAGGCAGTCTGGAGAACAACTATGAAGAAGTGGAGCAGTCCAACCACAGACAGGTACCTCCCCAGGAATGGGAGATGGGAGGAGAGACCTACCTCCAACCTCATTCACCTTTGCAGGAACCATCATCACTTCCTTTAATTAGTGACCAGTTCACCACGGATCCCACCACCATCCCCATACCGACAGACACCTGTCTTGCCACCTGTGCCTGACCTGCTTGCTGCCATCTTCTGACTCTTATACTTTCCCTTCTTGGTTTTCTGTTCAGCTCCAACCTCTGGACACAACACAGCAACTGAAACAGCTTTTCAGGTTTAATCATCTCATAAAAGATGATTACTGCAAAAGTAATTCAGAACCTTTAACATATTATTTCTGCTTTCTTAGTGAGGAGTGACCAGTATAGTTTTGTACATCTGATTAATCCTTACAAATTTTATTCTGGCCCAAGAGATAAAAGAAATAAGGAAGCAGGAAAGGTTGGGTAGCACTTGTAAGTTTAGATGCACATGTTCACAAGGATGAACAGGGGTTTTTCAGTGGTATGTATCTTCACGGCTAACTATAATTCCATTTTTCTGTGCTCATTAAAGTTTGTCTCTCCATGAATCAGTGTAACTTACGGTTTCTGTGGCCTTTGTCTTCTTAGTAGTACTGTAAAGGCATACATCTACTGTTTTTTTGTTGTGCTATTTTACTATGATGACTAATAATAATAATATGTAATAATATGTGATCTTCATTTGTATTTAATATCTGGAGCATAGTAACACAAATTTTCAGTTCTCTTAAATGTAATCTTGAGGTTTTTGTATATTTGAATATTGTCTTTGTGTATTGTGAAATATTATCCTGATTTTCTAGCACAAATTCAACTACCGGTCTGACCTTTCGTCGGTGGAGAAAGTTAACAGTAGTGACTGCCAGAAACTGGAGCAGGATAGGCAAGCTAATATGAACAAAGGTATGTAAAGGTGAAATAAGCAAAAATACACTGTTCTTGTGAATTTAGCAATATCAATAAGAAGGTCATCATCTATAACTTTAAGTGGTCTTCTGTACATCAGTTACATTTTTTTCTCCATGAACAGTTGGTGTAGTTCCCCCCAGAACTAAGTCTCCCACAGAAGACGAACTGAACTCTTATGATGCCATCTATCGTAGAAATGGAAACATTCCCAATGGGATTTCAAGGGTACGTGATTCCAACGTACCAAAAGGGGCTGACTTGCATGCACGGGCAGGGAGTTACTTGTATGCAATTAATATGTCCACTCAATGGTATGAAAGTGATAGCTGCATTGCTATCTTCCACAGCAAAAGGGTCAAAATCAGAGTGAAGTTCATTGTCTTTGTGCATATGCATAGTAATAGTAACAAAATAGAGAGTACAATAGAAAATACAAGCTTAATATTTTAATGCATATAAACTTTACAACATAATAAGATTCTTCTCAATTACCCAGACAGTAAGGCAAGTATTATCTCAAGAAAGGTTGTCTTGATTGAGGCAGGGAGTTGGGTTTGAGATCAGTCTGCTCATCAGTGTGTGTTCATCTGGCAGGAGAGACCCAAGAGTGCCGTCTTCCCAGCTGAGGTCAGATCCAAGATGAGTGTAGAGGAGCAGAATGAGAGGATCAGGAGGAACCAGAGCAACAGCGTGCGGGACAAGAGGCGAAGTCTGAACCTCCCAAGCTCTCAGCCTATCGATGGCTTTAAAACATCCACTAACTATAGAGTGGTGTGTGCCCTCAAGCCCTACATATAGATTACACTCATTTATCTTGTTCATTTGGTTGAAGTTGATCTGTTTTATCCTCTCATTTGCTTTGCAGTCACTTTCGTTCAAGGCAGCATACATAATATGCAGCTTTCCATTAGATTTAGATAGCCGAATATTTTTAATGAAGCATTAACATTCTGTTAATGTCCCTTGACCAAAACTTAATTGAAGGCCCATGTTTTGATTTAATTTAGCCACCTTTTGCTCACAAGCCTAGCTGTTAATGCTTACATATTGCCAACACAGTTTATGAGGTATTATTTATGAGGTGTTTAATCATTTATTATATCGGTGTAATAAAAATTATAGAAATGATCTGAAATAAGTACAACCATAAAAATTGCATCAGTATAATCTAGCTGTAAATTGGAAGGTATTCACATGGGAAATCGTGATAACAGGATATTGTGTAGCCCTTTCTACTGATACTTGATTAAAGGGGAACTAAACTAGATCTTTCCTACTACGTTCTCTTGCTTAGGTCCGGCGTAGATTGACAGCACACGAGGTGGACATCAAAGACCTGGAGGCAGCAGTGCGGGGAGAGGGGGTAGAATCACCCCGGGAGGAGATTGCACGGTTGCGACGGCTCCAGATTGAGCCTGATGCATACAACATGGGCCTAAATAAGGAGGCAAGTCCCATCCAAGTGACCATGCTCAGAACAGATTGCCTCTTAGAAGATCAAAGTGTCTGCGGGGACGTCCAACTTGATTCTCCATTCTTGATGTTTTCTAGCTGTCAGCACCAGAAAAGGTTCTGATTCCAGAACGGTACTTGGACGTAGAACCCAGCACACCTCTGAGTCCTGAGGAGGAGCGAGAGAAGCAAAAGAAGGTGGAGCGGATCAAGACACTAATTGCCAAATCAAAGTATGGGCAGGCTTCATCTGTTTTCCCTCCTAGAATACAGATCTAATCTTGCAATGTACTCTTGTTCCTTGATGTATTCTTGCTGTTTTTAGAAATTTGTAGATAAATGCATACCAGTTAACCAGTGCCTGCCTTCTCCTCATAGCATGCAGAACGTTGTCCCCCTTCTGGATGGCCCTGCCGAGAGCCGAGAGACTGATCCAGAACAGCAACTTCAGGAACAGGAGAAGCGAATTGAGATCTCTTGTGCTTTAGCTGCCGAAGCATCCCGACGCAGCCGACTCCTGTCCGGTGAGGAGACTTCACCTCCAGGGCCCACCAAGGCACCTCCTGTGGCGCACTGCCATTTCCAATAAAACACATTCCACTTCTCCAGCTGTCCTTCAGAGTAGGGGTTGCAGAACCCTAATATAAGGTGCTCAGGGGATTGCTGACCAACCAGATGTGTTTCATGAAGTTTTCCCCTGTCAGTCCAGTGAAGAGTGATGCAATTCATTCAGCAATACATACATACGAACAAATACAATACAAACAGACCCCCTATTAACACCTAATAAGCATTAAATGCAATAATGCCTTAAATGTATAAACTGATTAATGCTAAAGTAAAGAAAAAAATATTTTTTACATGAGTAATGTAAGTGTTTCTCACTGGGGATGACGTGAAAGTTAGAGCAGGTGGTTACATTGAAGATGTTGAAGGTGTTGGAGATGTTGATGGCTGATTCTCATCAGTAACACATGACTGAAGCTGCGGGTCGTTGCCCTGCAAAAACTGGCCCCGAATGCTCTTGCTCATCTTTTCATGTAGGATGAGCCAAACCGGAGTGACATCCCCAATAATCTTTGCAAAGTGCTGAGCATTGGGATTCATCTCTTCAAAGAATGCAACAACTTTCATGACGTGTGCAAAGCCTGCTGTATTTTCTTGATGACTTGGCTCTACCTCTGGATTTTCTTTTTCTTTGCACTGCTGTTAGTGAAGCTCCATCAACTCATCGTTCGTCAAAGGCTGCTTGTCTGCCTCAAAAAATTAAATGAAATCTTCCTCCTCCAACTCCATTTGCAGCTGAGTGCTCAGAATCACCAAGTCCTTGTTTACCTTGTCAAAGCCTTTGAAATCATTAACAAATTGAGGGCACAGCTTCTTCCAAATGCCGTTCATACCTGTACTTGGAACTTCATTCCAACTGGTGTTTATTTTTATTATGTAAGCGTATGTCATTCAGTGCTGTTGCACTTACAGACTGGCTTAGTGTAGGTGTCATGTAGTAGCGCTTGAATATGATAATGATCCCCTGGTACTTCAGTTGCAGAAGGGAGATGGTGTTGAGAGGGAGGTAAATGATGGTGACATTAGGATGAAAGTCAACGATGTTTGTTGGGTGGCCAGGACCATTGTCTAAAATAAGAAGGATCTTAAATGTACTACTGGTACAAAGCGGTTGAAGAGCCAATCCTCAAAAAATTCACAAGTTACCCAAGATTTCTGATTTGACATCCATATTACTGGAAGAGATGCCTTGGGGATGTTCCTCAGTGCTCAAGGATTCTGGGTATGATACACTAGCAGCGGCTTTAGCTTAAAGTTGACCGCTCAGTTTCCTCTGTACATAAGGGTCAAATCGTCTTTTGAAACCTTGACGCCTGACATAGCCTTCTTCTCCTTGGATATAAATGAATGGTCTGGCATCCAATAATGTCCAGTCTCATCTATGATGAATATCTGTTCTGGAACAAATCAGCTTTCTGTAATAAACCACCAATGTAGCAGGGAATTCAGAAGCTGCTCTTTCACCAGCTGACGCACTTTCGCCTTGTATCCTGACTTAATGAACTCCCTGTCACTGCTTAAACCTCATAAACCATCCTGCACTTGCTTTGAAGTCTGTGTCATTCTCATTAGGAAACCTTTTTTTGAGGTCTGCAAACAGACAACGCTTTCTGGCTTATGAGAACATTCTGACAAGTCTGCCATTCAGTCCAGAGGGAGAGGGGTTTTTCCACTTCTTCAGAAATCTTGCCTCTCCTCTTATTCATTATGTTTTTTTTATCCTTGGAGCTTCGTCCTTAATGTGGACTAAAATCCGTTCCTTGTCATGCACGATTGTCAATACCATCGTCTGACTCAAACCAAAAGGACAAGCAATGGCAGCACCCTTTTCACCCCTTCCATGACCCAATCTTTTAACGATAAAGCATGACGCTTCTAGGAAAAAATTTATCTGATAATATGTCTCCAAACATAGGTAGAGAAATTACTTAATTGATTGATTGATTTTTATTGATTATTATTATGTTTGAATGCTTTGTTTTGCTAACAAACAATATTATGGAAGTCCCAATTAGTTAAGATTTTGTTCCAGGATATGAATAGAATTCATTAATCACAGTTTAACTATTTAACCTGGGTTAAAATCTTTGTCCACCGAACCTGACTCTCATTAGGTAGGTAGCAACTCTATGAAAAAACTCTGTTCACTGCTGTAGAGTGAGTCTCTTGATACTTTTGGACAAGCTTAGGGTGGTTGCGCACCAGTGACCCTCAATCCCCAGCTCCCTGGGTGCCACTACAGGTGGCTGCCCTTCGCGGACAGCGAGTTGAGGGAGGCGTAAAAACAATTAAGTGCCAATTATCAATAAAGTGCCAATTATTATTAAATTATTATTTACTCAGATGGAGATTTAAGATATATAATAGACATGCATTGTTTCTAACACTATAACACACGATAGACATCACACTTAACAAAATACAAATACAAAATAAGAGAATAAAATCAACGAGCAGGATGGAATATGGAAAGTCAGTAACTAAATCTAAATGTGTACCCTTAAAATGAAATACTGTTCTGCACAGCAAACCCTAGAAGCACAACCCAAAATTATAAAACAGATTAACCCTTATCCTGCGTTCCGAGGTGCGTGCTTTTATATTTCAATTTCTTTCAGATGTTACATTACAATATTTATATTTATACTGTATATTATATATTAAGTTCCCACATTATAGAAACTCTAATCTCAACATTTATAAGATTATATTTGTAGTGCATGCAAATTTTTAAATTAGATGAGGCAAAAAATGTAGAAATTTCAATATGTACAAGTAGTTTTTCCTCCTAAAAAGGATATCAAGATTGTGTCAGCATTTGCACATCAAATCATGACACATCTGAGTAACCCAGAATGTCCTGACAACAAAAACATAAAGGACATATAATAAGCCTAAACTTAAAGGGATAGAAAAACACTCAAAAAAGGATAGGATTGAAAGGGTTAACAATATGGTTTAGATTGTCAAATGAATGAAAGGGAGTTTATGTGGTTGCAAATGGAATCTCTGGAAGTTTGTTGGAGAGTTGATGAGGAGATCAAGAGATGGAGTTCGGGGGTGGGGGGGCAGGTCTGAAGCAGCTCTTAATAGTTTTGTGGCTTTTCTACCCCCTTTTCATGCAGTTGTTCTTCATGCAGGTACTGTACCATCAGTACCTTTCAGTTCAGTTCTACTCCCAGAGGAATCCAAGGTGTGTGATTTTAGGGTCTAAAGTCCAGGAATATTGATCATTGGGAATTCGAAACTTGGACCACTGATTGGGGACATCTGACCGGAGTCCTGGTCTCGGCATCTGTATAGCAGTCCATTGGATTTATGACTGTATACTGAAGCAACTTTACAGCTACTTTCGATTAAAGTATTTAGCTTTAGATAGATGCAATTACGTAATAATCCATGATCAGATTCGATCAAATTTTTCTGTCAATTTGATAGCAAACCTGACATGGAGGTTTGCACATCATAAGATTGGCATTGATTACTTCATACTGTAGTTCAAATTACATTGTACACGTTGGTTTATTTGTAATGGTATATAGTACGTATGGGTATGTTGCACATCACTAGATATTGATAATTTTAAGTTTTACTGAAGTTCTGTTCCAAATTCCAAACAGCATATCTTCACATCTTAATCCTTGGTTTATGAATTGCTATTACTTTCATAGAGTAAAAGTTTAAATTAAGGATTTTAAATTACAATCTTGTGGTTAACATGGGATTACTACAATAATTTGATATCTGTGTTTAACAACACATGTACTGATTCATTCATTCGATGTAAGCAGGGAAGGAGAGAAAAGGAACGTGAAAAAGGCACCATTTGACTTATTTGTGACTCAATCCCTCTGGAATTCAGGGGAGAGGGGTGTCTCTGAATTAAAATAGAATAGAATAGAATAGAATAGAATAGCTACTTTATAGAATAGCTACATACACTGCACATCAGAACAAAATTATGTTGCATTGACTCACCATCGGCCTAGTAGAGTATATTAATACTAAAAATCTAAAACTTTAAAAATACAAAATCTAAATAGAAAATAAATAGAAATAGAATATAAAGTGGAATTAACATAGAATATACATAAAAGTATATTGACAGCAGTATAGCAGCAAAAAGCGTGCACATCACTGTCTGGAGACTAAGCATGACATTAAAAGTTGGAGGCTAAGGATGCATTGGAGGATAAGGATGACATTATAATTTTCTTCCAATATTTTATCTCCAAATGAGCTCTAAAAGCTGAAATCACTAATCCGTAGGATAGTAAGGATCTTATAGTTGAAAATGAAATTGATATAGTAAATGAGTTTAATGATTATTTTACATGGGTTTTCACAATAGAGAACACAAGTAACTTGCCACCATTTAGTACAAATACAGCGTTGTCTATGACCAATATATGTATAACTGAGGCTGAAAAATACAAAATCTAAATATGATGGCATCTTACCTATAGTTTTAAAAGAGATGAGGGATATTATTAGCCAACTTTTAACTTTACTATTTCAAAAATCCTTATCTACTGGTGTGGTACCTTCTGATTGGAAGCATGCTAATATAACACCCATATTCAAAAAAGGGGATAGAAGTAATCCAGCAAACTATAGGCCAATCAGTTTAATTTGCATAACTGGAAAAGTAATGGAAGCTAAAATCCAAGTGAAAATGGTAGATTACCTGGATTCTAATAACATTCTGAGGGACTGCCATCATGGATTTAGGAGAGGTAGATCCTGTTTAACTAATCTACTTGAGTTCTTTGAGGAAGCTACAAGAGAAATTGATCATAAAAAGGCCTACGACGTGATCTACTTAGATTTTCAGAAGGCCTTTGATGTTGTCCCCCACAAACAGCTCTTGCTTAAGCTCAAAGCTGCAGGGGTTTTATGAACTGTAGCAGCGTGGATCGAAAACTGGCAGAGTTCAATTTTAGGACCACTATTGTTC